GACCGTGTTGCCCTTTCTCACTCATCCCACTTTTAAAAGCATCCAGTGACGTCCCATTGCACACAGAGGAGAATCCAGGGCTCGTAACCTGGGGTCTGCAGCAGGTGCCTGTTGTTAGGATTCAGGGGTCCATGACATTGGATGGGGAAAGAAACACACACATTCATACACGTGCGCACACACACGTAGGCACATGTGTGCGCACACACGCACACACACAGATGTAGACACGTGTGCACACACATGTGCATAAACATACATGTAGACAAGTGTGCACATACACATGTAGGCAATGAGCGCCCATATACACGCTCACACACACACGTAGGCACATGTGTGCACACACACAGATGTAGACGTCTGTGCACATGCATATGCACATGTACACACGTGTGCACACACATGCACATGTACATGCATGTAGACACGTGTACATATAAACGCGTGTGCGCGCATATGTAGACACGTGCACACATGTGCTCAAACCCTTGTAGACACGTGTGCACACATACACACATGCACACACAGATGTAGACGTCTGTGCACATGCATATGCACATGTACACACGTGCGCACACACATGCACATGTACATGCATGTAGACACGTGTGCATATAAACACGTGTGCGCGCATATGTAGACACGTGCACACATGCGCTCAAACCCTTGTAGACACGTGTGCACACATACACACATGCACACACAGATGTAGACGTGTGTGCACATATACACATACACACATACATGTAGACGTGTGCACATATACACATGCACACACGCATGTAGGCACACATGTGCACATATGCACATGCACACGCGGATGTAGACACGTGTGCGCACATATACACGTGCACCCATACATGTAGACACGTGTGTGCACACACACATGTGCACACACATGCATGTATGCACACACACACCCAGGAACACTCAAGTGCTGGTCTCTGCCCTCCGGGAGACCTGGGGGGTGAGGTGGGGGTACGCACAGACGGGCTCAGTACAGTGTGCTGAGTGCAGGGATGTGCCCCCACTCAGCGTCTGCGCTGCAGCCCCACCCCCCTGCTCCCCACCCCAGGTCCCCCCCCAGCCCCCTCTTGGGTGGCTGCCTCATCTTCTGCCTCCACCCTCGACACCGTGCAACCTACTGTCTATGTACACACAGAGCTCTCTGCTTACACACTTTAGACCCTGCAAACTCCTGTCCAGAGCCCTCCGGCAGCTGCTCAGAACTCGTGCAGTGTGATTCTCCCTCCTCACTGGGGTATCCAAAGCGCAGCCCCCCCTCAGACCTCATCTCGCTCACTCCAAAGCCTTCTCTACCCCAGGACCTTTGCCTGGGCTCCTCCTCCAACTGGAATCCTTTTTCTTCAGCCCTTGACCTGTCACGCATTCATTCAGATGTCGGCTCAGATGCAGGGAAATTCTCTCTGAGAAGATGATGGTGGCTTTTTTTGTTTTTGGGTTTTTTTTTGTCTTCTGTAAATAGACCCCCATTTCAGTCCCTCCAAACATTGGGAGTAGAGTGGGGGAGGGTGGGATGCCTTTGAATGTAGGAAGAGGGGGGCAGAGAGAGAGGGGTTCCCCAGGCTGGAATGAGGATCTGTGGTCTCCAGAGTAGGGAGCACCCACTGTCTGCTCCCTGCCTGTTCCTCTGGGGCCGCAAGGAAGCCTGGAAAGGTGGGGCCCTGGGCACAGAGGTCCCAGCCTTTGCCTCTGTCCAGGATCCGTGCCTAGCTTGGATTTGGACCAGGAGAGTATCAGCGATAGTCACAACAGACGTGGAGCTGGGGACACTTCTTTTTTTCAGCGGTAACCCAGACCAGCAGCAGTTTCGAAACGATTTGAGTGGATGGCAAACTCAGATACCCGAGGAACACGCACGATAAGCAGACTCAGGGCTGTGTTCAAATCCCGGCTCTGACTCTTAGCAGCCACATGAGGCTGGGCGAGTGACTCACCTGCCCTGACTCAGTTCCCCCATGGGCGCAATCGGCCCAGAACTGTGGTGAAGTCACGTGTGGCAACTGTCCGGGATAGAGCCTGGCATGAGACCGCCCGTCAACAACAGGAGTTTAGAACAGTGGTGTACGGTGTAGGGAACACGGGGGATTTCTGGCTGTTTTGACGTCGTTGGATGGGACGAGGCACAGGTGTGATGTCTAGAGAGGCGTCATCACGGTGGAGGCCTTCAGAGCAGAGAGGGACCACAGACGTGCTCCCAGTCTAGCTTGGAGCTGGGGGGCCGGGGGACTCCGTTTCTGAGAACCCCATTTTCCTTTGCCCTTCTCCTCCTTCATGCTCGGGGACGCTGGCTCTTGCTCCCATGGGAGGGAGGGCACAGGCCACCTCCCTCCCCAGGCCAAGCCATGGGACTGCTCTTGTCTGATCTGTTGGCTCGGGCTACCGGGCCCCTCCCTCGCTGTAAGCGTGCGTGGGCCAGTGGCTGTGGCTTACTCCGCTTGCCATGTTGAAGCCTCTTTATTTTCTTGGGCTGATCGTGTCTGATGGCACCCCAGAAGCAACGGGTGGGGGGACTTAAATCTCGTGAAGCCCTTGTGTCCTGTCGTGGAAGGAAGGAATCTCTCTCCCTCCCTGGCTGTCAATATCTGTCCCTTGCCTATCTGCACTGTAGATGGCTGGGCTTCGGAGGGGCGACCCGCGTCCTCGGAGCCCCCAGCCCTGAGCCGGCTCTGAGCACAGTCGCGTTGGCCCGCAGGAAGGTCCAGCAGGCATCCGTGGCCTCTTGGGGGTCTGTCATGGCTTTGGGAGGTCTTAAGTGGGAGGGCAGTTCAGAAGGTTGTGAAGGCTTGTGAGTGAGTCTTTTTCTTGTCCTTTGTCTTTGGTTTCAAACTTAAAACATAAGATATAATAGTGCTTGCCTGCATCCTCCCAAAACATTCCAGGTCAGGCGTAAGTGTGACCACCCCACCCCGACCCCCCTCCCCCAAGTTCACTAAGGCTTATCATGGTCTGTTTCTCATCCGGAACCGGGGCTGCGTTCAGACGCGTGTATGCGGCTGCAGGAAATACGCGGTGTTGCTTCGTGCGTGGCTGTGTTTTAAAACAAAGGGTGTTGTGCTCCGTATCACATTCTTCACAGCCAACAATATGTCTTGGAGGCTTTTGCATGCCCATGCGAATGGAGTCGCCTCATCCATTTTTTAAAAACTGCTCTGTAGTATTCTGTGGTGGGCTATTCCATAGTTCATTTCCCTACTGATGAATACTTACGTGGTTTCCATTTCTCCCCCCCCCCCCACCTTTTCTTTTTGTTACTGTGGTGCATCCTACAAAACTCCATCTGGTTTGGGGGTGGGAAGTGGGTTTATATCGTGTGCCAAATGGTCGCATGCCCGAACACTGCCGTGTTGAGGCAGGAGTGAGGGCGGCGATCAGTCAGTAGTCTGTCTTGGGTGCTTCTTTTCCTGGGGCCATAACGAATCACCGCCAACCAGATGGTAACTACTTTCTCAGTTCTGGAGGCCGGACTTCCAAAAGTAAGATGTCAGCAGGGCCACGCTCCCTCTGAAGGCTCCAGGGTTCTGGGTCCTTCGTTACCTGTTCCCGCTTTCGGTGGCTCCAGGCATCCCTTAGCTTGTGGCCACATCACTCCCACTCCCTGCCTCTGCACCGCAGGGCTGGCTGTGTGTGCCTCTCTGTGTCCTCTCCTTATGAGGACCCCAGTCACTGGATTCAGGGCCCACCCTCATCCAGTACGACTTCGTGTTAACTCGTTACATCTGCAAAGACCCTCCTTCCAAACAAGGTCACCTTCTGAGATTCCAGTGGGCGTGAATCGCCCGGGGACACTAACCCATCGCAGGTGCAGGAAGACTGAGTAGCTACATATATACCCCGGATTTGCCAACGTACCTGTATCTGGATGCCGTTGGGTGCAGACCAGTCCCACCCCGTCTACACCTCTAGCCAGAGCGGACGTCCGGATGGTGGCTCACAGGGCTGGGAGATCTTCGGTCATTGACCCAGTGTATTGAGTCCTGTTGACTGGACTCCCTTTACCAGGACAAGGATGAGACTGAAAAGCCTGTCTGTCGACTCCGGACCTCACAAGTCCATCCAGGAGGCCCCGTGGGTCTCTCCTTCCCCCAAAACAAATTTGTTAGCATCCTTACCCGTTGGTGACAGTACGTTTGGCAGTCGCTATCTGGAATAAACCTACTGCCGTTCTTTTAGGTTCTTGTATGTACAAGAAAGACCAAGATGTTCTGCAAATAGCTGTTACCTTGGTTATATACACACGGTTTCACTTGATTGATCCGACGCAGTCACCGCTGAAAGGAGCAATTTTAAATTGTCAGGGAGAATGTGTGTCCAGTGGGTACACTTCCAAATGACCAGAAATAACCATCTTTGTCGGATGAGATTAAAGCCGCGCACTTTGTAAGTGCCGCTGTATGAACACTTCTAATGTGCCAGACACAGGTCACCTGTCCGCGGTTCGCGTGTTTCCAGGGCGTGATGCCAGGGAGCGCATTCAGTAAGCCTGTCACCCCAGTGGCCCCATCATTGGATTGAGATGTTATGTCATTTCCTAACTTGCATTAAAAACAAATAACAATATAGGGGGCGCCCAGGTGGCTCAGTCGGTTGAGCGTCTGACTCCGGCTGAGGTCATGATCTCACAGTTCATGTGAGCCCCGCATTGGGTTCGCGCCCCGCGTTGGGCTCTGTGCTGACTGCTCGGAGCCTGGAACCTGCTTCGGATTCTGTGTCTCTCTGTCCCTCCTCCACTCACGCTGTCTCTCTCTCAAAATAGATAAATAAAAAAAATAATAACAATATCAAAAGGATTGCTCTTGGAGAGTGAACCGGAGTCAGCTAAGTGGAAAAGGAGAAGGGAAAAAACCCATTAAGATGTTTAGTTCGGTTGACCTACGTCTTTTTGGCAAACCTTTGCTGCTGGATAATTTCTGAAGGTGAACAGGAAAGATAGACCCAGTAAGCAAGTCCAGGAAAAAAATGGTGACTGTCCGTCAGAGGAATAACGAGTTCTGGGCTCTTTGGTTGCCACAGGACACGTTTTTAAGACTCTGTCAGTACCATTAATATTTATAACCTATCTCACGAAAACCTCTTCTCTGAGCGGAACATCCATCAACGACTTCTCGGGAATTGTTCTGTTTTGTTGGGTGATGAGCCCCGAATGACAAAATTGAGAGCAATTATGTGAAGGGTTTTATTTGCTTCTGTTTTACACACACCCCTTAAAGGTGGTAAAGTCATCAGGAGGCTGTATTCAGAGAACATAATTTTCTTTCTGGAAAGAAAAGTCTCCTTTACTGTCCACGTGTGAACTGGGCTGTTTGAGTGACGGATATGCAAGTCCCTGGGAGCGCGGGCCTTGCAGGTGCCTCCACCAGGACTGGGGTTCCCTGCTTGGAAATGACACACCAGAGGCCTCACCCGCGAGGACTCCGCCCACCTGTGTGCTGGTCAGCGAAGGGACAGTGTCATGTCCGCAGCCAGGGAGACGGGGAGACGTGTGCACCTACGGAAAGTCAGGCCGTCTCAGTTCAGACCTGCCTCACCCCTTCCTTAAGCTTTGTGATCTTCAACGCAAACCGCCTTCGTGAACCTCCGTCATCCCATCTGCAAAAGGACAATATAATTCCCCCTAGGATAGCCTCATCCAGGCTGTGGGCGGCAATAATATATGCCCGGGGTTTGTCCCATGACATGGGCCCAGTGAACGTTAAC